GACAAACCATATCTTAAGACAGTTAAATAAGGCTGTCTTATTTAACAAGACTATCTTGTTAACTTATTTAATAAGACTATCTTAAGACAGTCAAACGAGGCTCGGCACCTGTAGCTCAGCAGCTAGGGCACCAGTCACATACACGGGAGCTGGCGGGTTGGAATCCAGCCCGGGCCTGCCAAACAACAGTGACAACTACAACAAAAAAAAAGCTGGGCATTATGGCGGGCACCTGCAGTCCCAGCTACTTGGGATGCTGAGGCAAGAGAATTGCTTAAGCCCAATAGTTTGAGGTTGCTGTAAAGCTGTGATGCTACGGCACTCTACCGAGGACAATATGATGAGACTGTCTCAAAAGAAAAAACCAGTTAAATGAATTAACACATTAAAATGGGTTACATATGAAATAATATAGATATGGCCTTTAAAAGCAGATTTCTGGTATTTTTAATTTTGGTCAGAGTCTACAAAACCCAAAGCAACCTCTAGGCTGTCCATTAAATTCCCAAACCATAAAAGCTGTTATCAGACAGACCCTTTAATAACAAATAGCCAACCAACGATACAATGGTAATCATCTACTCTCAAAGACTCTACTTATCAGTAAAGAAATTGCATAAAATGTCTGGACAATATATATATATATATATATATATGATAGAACCTCCATAGTTGACCACCTCCTTACATTGACCTGGCCTAATGTTCACAGACCGGACATGCACCACATGTACATATCAGTCCAGTAGGCAAGTCTTCCTCATACTGACCACCTCCATATGCTGACCAGTTTGTTACTATCCCTCGGATGGTCAACTTACAGGTTGACCTAAAAACTGTAAAGTGTTTTCTCTTATACTAATCAATAGCTAGACATCATTTATTTTTTCATAAATCAACAAAAGAAAAAAAAATTATATTTCTCCACTGTTAGACGGGAAACCAAGTGAAAACAATCCAAAAATTAACAATGACAATTTAACATTTTATCTTGAGAAAGAAAATGAAAAGACTCATTTACTAACATGCCCTTAGTCAAGATGATGGAATAGAATACTACATATTTTAATGCACACACAGAAGCAATTCTGCCCTGTGCATACCTTATGTACTATAAATTACAGCTTTATATAAAATATAATTTTTAAAGATCAAATTGTTTATATACATCTACTTCATAAAATAAACTTATGTACAACCTGCATTTAATGTACTTACAGCTCCTTGTGCTTGTCTTCAGCCAAGATTTGGTCATTTGGTTTCAGAGAATATCTATAACACAGAAACAAAATACACTGGTCATACAAACACAGTATTAACATACCGTCAGTTGACCCCCACCAAACAAGTACTACTACATCATGGCTTAATTGATAAAGCACCACGAATGCTCAAACAGATGCTTTTCTGTCCTATTAGTTACTTCCATAAACACTACTCCAGGGACAAAAGGGAAAAACAACTTGACCATGAATCATCTATGTCATGCTTATCCAACAGTTCAAAATTCAAGAAACTACCACAATGTTAAATATTTGAGAGTTCACAAAACAATATTCATCCATTAAATATACACTAAGCATCTACTATGTACTAAGCTTTGTATTAAGTAGTGGGACACAGAAGAAAACATCAGTTTTGGAGTTTCTGACAGACCATTTACTAATTTGTTTTTTTCTTTTCTTTTCTTTTTTTTTCCTTTTTAAGACAGAGCTTCGTTTTGTCAACCTTGGTAGAGAGCTGTAGAATCATAGCCCACAGCAACCTCCAACTCTTGGGCTTAAGCGATTCTCTTGCCTCAGTCTCCCAAGTAGCTGGGACTGTAGGTACCTGTCACAATGCCCTCCTGTTTTTAGAAACGAGGTCTCACTCTGGCTCAGGCTGATCTTGAACCTGTGATCTCAGGCAATTCACCTGCCTCAGTCTCACAGAGTACTAGGATCACAGGCATGAGCAACCCTAGGCAAGTACTTCACTTCTTCAAGTCTGTTTCTTTGTCTATAAAATAGAAATTGCTATAAATAATAGATCTTCCACAATACCACATATATTTCTACTGCTGAAGGTTAACAGACTTTCTGAAGGGTACACAGAAAAAGATAAACAATGGTCAATAACACCAAGGTCTTCCATTTTCCATCAACTGTTTCTTAAAACAAATCTGCCTGCTGTGAGCTGTGATGCCACGACACTCTACCCAGGGTGACAGAGTAAGACTGTCTCCAAAAAAAAAAAAAAAAGAAAGAAAAATCTATCTGCTGACAATGGATCGGAGAAAGTAGAAAGGTCACGTTGATTGTCTTTTTCTGTCTCCCCCTTCACAAGGGCTTGCTATGGTTTGAAATTTTGCCTCGTCCAAAACTCATATTGAAATTTAATCCCCAAGGTGACAGTTTTGAGAGGTGGTATCTTTAAGAGGTGATTGGATCAGTAGGACTCTACTCTTCATGAATGGGTTAACCCACACATAGGTTAATGGGTTATGTGAGGAGAAGTACTGGCTTTATAAGAGAAAGAAAGATCTGAGCCAGCATATCAGCCTGCTCAGCTCCCTGTAGCTCAGGATTCTGCAGGGAGTCCATACCAGCAAGAAGGCTCTCCTCGGCTCGGCGCCTATAGCTCAACCGGCTAAGGCGCCAGCCACGTACACCTAAGGTGGCGGGTTCAAATCCCCAGCCCGGACCCGCCAAAACAACAATGACGGCTGCAACCAAAAAATAGCCGGGCGTTGTGGCGGGCGCCTGTGGTCCCAGCTACTTGGGAGGCGGAGGCAGGAGACTCGCTTGAGCCCAGGAGCTGGAGGTTGCTGTGAGCTGTAATGCCACGGCACTCTGCCCAGGGGGACAGCTTGAGGCTCTGTCTCAAAAAAAAAAAAAAAAAATAAAAAAAGAAGGCTCTCCTCAAATACAGCCACTCAACCCTGAACTTCTCAGCCTCCCTAACTATAAGAAATAAATGTCTTTTCTTATAAATTACCCAGTTTCAGGCAACATAAAATGGACTAAGACATCTACTTTACAAAGAGAATGAAACACCTCTCATCTATTCTGAATGAAATAGTACAGTATTTATTGCCTGGGGTGTAAAAACCTCTGAAGTGCTAAACAAGGAATGATTGATAATATTTTATCTTCAAAGGCTTGTTAGATTAAAGTAGCACACACTACAGGACTATTTTTATACATTATACATTATGTTTTATACATTATTTCTGAAAAGACTGAAGCTGGAAATTAGAGATTGGAAATTGTGGTAATATGTCCTATTTTCAGATATATTATAGAGTGGAACAGAAGTTGATTAAAATCATTTTAAAAGTTTCTCTCTTCCGGCCCTTGTTTATCATCAAAGATTGCATTACTTTTTAGGAATAATCCTATGAAGCAAAGCTGAGAGAGTTTCCATCAAAATGCCACTAAAATAACCTACGCTCATTAATTATCTTTCTGCCTAAAAAAGAACCGCTGCTTTAACATATCCTGTTCTGCCAACTTAACTGTTGTTGGCAAGACAAAAAATTCAATCAGCCTATATCCAGCCTTTCTGTATCTATGGATTCAACCAACCACACAGTGACAGTATCTGAAGGTGAGGGCAGAAGGATGGTTGTGTCTATACTGAATATATGCAGGCTTATTTTCCTTGTCACTATTCCTTCAACAATACAGTATAACAACAAAGAATTTACCTTATATTAGGTATCATACATAACCTAGAGATGACTTAAAAGCATATTGGAGGATGTGCATGCACAGGTTATGCAAATACTATACTACTTTATATAAGGGATTTGAGCATCAATAGATTTTGGTATCCAAGGGTGGGTCCTGGAATCAATCCCCCATGGATACTGAGGGACAGATACATAGCCTTTGAGTGTATCATATTTAACTTAGTGAATACTCAATGTTTTAAATTAATAAACTTCAAGGAGAAAAATCAACTTAGTAAAAAGCTGCAGCTCAACCTCCCACCATATCTTTCCAAGGAGGATGCCCGGCACAGCCTATTTTAGGTTGGGTTTTGTTTCCTAATGGCATAATTAGATAGATGTCCTGCTTTCACAACTACTTCTTAGATTCAAACAAGAATATAGTCCCTAAAAACCAGAGACAGCAAAACGGTACAGTGGTAGTTTTCAACCTTTCTCTGCCCTAACTTAAGAAGAAAATGAAATGCACACCAAAAAGCAGAAGATGGAGAAGCGGGAGAGAGCACAGGAAAGGGCGCTCTTCATCCTGCTTCTAGCCTCCTCAGAGAGCACCTCTGAGAAAGTGGCACACCAGATTAAAAGTCTAAAGACTTGCATTACAGTTCTGATTCTGCCATTAATTAGTTTTCTGAACTAGGCAAGGCACATAATTTTGCTAATGAGAATAAAACTGCCTATGTGACAGGGTTGCCAACCAGATCAAATAACACATATGAAAAGTACCCAGCTCATTACTTAATATGTAATAATAAATGCTCATTCCTGCCCTCCTTCTTGGAAGCTTCCTTCCCCCTCTATAAAATGAACAATTAGTTCAAAAAGGAGGGAAGGCTGGGCACGGTGGCTCATGTCTATAATCCTGGCACTCTAGGAGGTCAAGGCAGGTGGACTGGCTGAGCTCAGGAGTTTAAGACCCATCTCTAAAAACAGCCAGACATTATGACTGGTGACTCGTCCCAGCTACTTGGTAGATTGAGGCAAAAGGATCTCTTGAACCCCCACTGCACTCTAACTAGAGAAAGCAAAACTCTGTCTCAAAAAAAAAAAAAAAAGAGGGAAAAGGCAGTTTAAAGTGTTCATAGCTTTTATACAAGCCTTTTATAAGAGACTAAACCAAACTTTTTTTATTCAAATGTGTTCTTTCCCTGAGAATAGCAGGACATAGAACTTAGTGCCTTAAAAGTCCTTGTGGAATCTGTTAAGTCCAGAAATAGGCCAGTCATGAGAGACGTGCCCTGCCCAATGTTACACAGCTAATCAATGACACTTTGACAGTTGGTACATAGCACCATGACAATAAATATTCTATAAATAACTGAAACCAGAATTGCCTTCTAAGTATTAAACAGACCAAAAAAAAAAAAAAAA